AAAATGGTAGGATTTGGCTTCTCTCTAAAACCTTTGTGGACATCAAAAAACTTATTCAGCAACCCACAGCTGCAGGTTGATTCCCCCTCATATAATTGTGCACAAAATACCCTATGCACAAGCACATCAGGAACCTCAGCCTGCAGTGCCACAGTTTGTACAAATACCAGCATTAATGGAAACTTTCCCGTGCTGCTTTTGAGCCTTTACTGTAGGTAATTATATAATTTGCTACAGATTTGACCCCATCTTAAAACACAGGCCAGTTAGCTCAGGGAATAAGAGAGGAACAAGTCAGCCTCTACTTCGCTTTCTTAGCAGTGCCAAAGATACTCAGAACCTTTGGTTTCTAATATTTCAACGTGATGCCAACTCCTCCGAGTTGAGCATCCTATATCAAGTGTCTTATATAGTCATATCCTTTTATACAGATTTTTTCACTCTGTTACATTACTATTATCTGCACTTTCTGATGAAATGCTAACAATATCAAAATGACAATTAAGTTACAATATTCCGCAGTAATTTACAAGGCTTCTTCAGCCAGGCAGTCACAGATGCACCATCACTGTCAGCCACCAAGGATGGAGAATCCTGAAAGGTGCTGAAAATTTTTGGGCTTCCTTCAGTTAGTTTGAAGGGGCTTTGTGCCTTCTACCAGGAATGCAGCAGCTAGCAGAATAAGGGTCCTTCTATTGTTAGAAAAGATGATTTGCCAAACTAGAGAGAGGAAGAGGGATGGGGCTTCCAGAAAAACTCTGCTGGAAAGGAGATGTTTGCCCAGCAACACAAAATCAAAATCTCTGCCTGGTCTGTAAGAAATGTCTCTATGAGCACCGCTCCTTTATTTGGTATTCAAGCCAACTTTTGCCTGTACGTGATCGGAAAAGAAAACACACGAGCAAACGTGTGGAACAGGAGGATAAAAGCAATGAAAGCTGACACTACCAAACCAATGAGTTAACCCAAAAGACTATTACATGGTTTTTAATTGTTCTCATTTGCCTATATCACCAAATAGGCTGTGCATCCAAACTATAGTTTTTATTTGGGTAATACCACGCCAGTTTGGTCACTGCGAGGAGCACGCTGCAGGAGTACTCCGTGGCACAAGAGGGGAATTCTGCCACTGGCAGAAGAAAGACATCAGTTTCAGCTTTGCTAATGTAGTCACAGGAAGTAATGACAGGCAGGTTTGGCATATGGGGCATATGGTAGAGATGAGGCCTGAAAGATTATGTTCCTATTGAACTGAAGGACTCCTGATAAAGCCGGGTTTATTTAATTTTCAATTCCGCGTCCTACACCTGAGGGTACTTGCAGCCTTGGGTGTTTCTAAGAATTGTTCTCAGCCCCAGAAGTTAACCAAAGAACATCAGGCAGAATGTTTGCAGCAACTAGGCTCTTCCAGGCATGATCAGGGCTCAGCCCAGCCTCCAAGGACACATCTATTAGGCCCTTGGAGCTTTGCTGTGAGGTGGGTGAGGGTACAGCAAGCTAACCAGCTTTACCAACCCACTTTCCACAGCTGGCAGTGGGTGTTGTAGGGTTGCCAAGAGCTGATTAGACTGTCCCAACCCATTGTCTTAGTAACAACAATGTTATCACCCAGCACTTGGTGTAAGGGAGTGGGGATATGACACATAAATAGGAAGCGTTGCTTTAGCACTGGGATATTATGGGTTTCCAAATCAGACCGATGCACTAGAAGCTGGCTGGTCCCTGTGCAGACATGGCCTGGATCTGAGTTGGGAGCTAAATAAGCCCCTGTGCTGAACTCGACAGTAGTGATGCGAGAAACAGTTTAACAATACCTGTACTTCCACTGCCCGGATGCCAAGATGCCTAGCACTCAGGAGATACTGGGTGCAATTCACATGTGGTGGTAGTGGGTACAGCTTACATCCAATTCAATGGGAGTTGTACCTACTTCTGCCATGGCCAGCTAGGATCCTGGGCATCCTAGGGAATAAGCCCAGCCTCTTGTGCATTTCTTTCGAACTCCCTTTTGCCCTCTTCTGCCATTTTGTTGCTCCTGTGTTAGCCAAGACCTAGTTTACTAGGGCTCGTGATTGGAGACTTATTACAGCTTATTTCTGTCTGCCTTTCTTTAAAGCCAGCTGAACATACCCAATGCTCTTCCTCTATGGTAAGACCGAAAATACAGACCACCCTCCCAGCTTCTGTGACACTCTTTCTAACACACTCCTTTATTCTCTTCCTGTGATCACGAGTTCTCTCTCCAAGCCCAGCCTAGTTATTTCTGCATGAAGCTGCCATGTCGTGTATTGGTGTGAGTCTGGTGTTCACATGAGCTGTGAATATGCTGCACATGTGTATTTCTTGTGCATCCTGAGCTTTCCTTTGGTCAAGTTAACTGTCGTTCTGCCTTCTAATGAATCACCAAGAGAGAACTAGACCTGGTAAGATTTCTTGTTAGCAACAAACCGCGTCGCTATCAATGTGGCACTGAATGAGTTTGCAATGTGACTTCACGTCCAAACCTCCAGACTAGAAAGGATGGGGACTCTGAAGTTTTTCTTCACTGAGGCGATTCACTGTGACTTTTGAGTTCCTACTTTGTACAGGAAAGAGTAAGTGTGCAATGGTGCACACGAACTCTGCTGCCTTGGTGTACATGGCAGTTCTCGCACCACCCCAACAGAGTTGCAGTAACTCCATTCTCTTGATCACTGCTTTGCAGAACCTCCCTCCTCTAGCAAGGGTATGCCTTCGAAAAGCTGGATGAAAGCCAGGAGAAAGCAAGCAAGGCTACTGGAGCACTGGCTAATCTTAAAATGACCATAATCTCCTGAGGCATCACTGAGTGGTTTTGGCTAAGTGGTTTGATGACAGGAAGTTGCATATTTGCACCAGGGAGGAGTTTGTTCTACTTTATCCGCTGCTTAGACTTTGCCTACTCCAGGACCCTGGGAGGACAGGAGTCATTTTCTGTCTATGGCAGCTGCCTCCTCTCAGAAAGGAAAGGCGAAGGAATGCTAAAACCTCTGTCCAGACCCATGTCTCAACTTGCTGCCATCCCAAGGGCCAAGCTGACAAGAGCAGCAGCATGTGGAGTAAGAAAACACCTTTTTATCACAACCACAAGGTACTGCTGTCCGCACAACTTTCAAATTTGGATCTCATCTCCCTTTCGGGTGGTATTGAAGTTTAGCTCCTTAGAAAAGTGGTAGGGAGACCACAGGACGTCTGTAGGACTGGGAAAGCTGTGTGACCTTGTAGTTAGCCCTCTGGGACTGTAGTGCTGAGTATTGAATGCCATGATATTTTATGTCTTGGAGGCCTCATTCCCTCCTTCCCCTTCGATTCACTGAAGCCCCTAGCCTGTTGTCCAAGTCAGAAAACAAGAATTATGTGAGACATGGGGAGCACTCAGGCTTTTTCTTGAGGCACACTGTTCCCCTAATCTTTTCACCTGGTTACCACATGGACTTTGAGTGTCAGCCTTTGCTGCAGGCTGGAGGACGCTGCCCAAAACATCTACCAGTGATTCAGCACAGACAAACTGCAGCTGGGGTGGGATCCTGGGCTGCATGGCAGGAGCTGGGGCATGGCATGGCCCCAGCTGGGGAGCCGAGTGCCAATTTGCTCATCCTGGGCTGGAAATAGGAGCGTACACAGGTACGCATCCTCGTCTGGATGTTTAATCCCAGAAACATACCCCGGGCAGTTCCCGTGCTTTGGGTTTTATCAGGAGCAGACAGACAAGCAGCTGCTGTTTTCGCTGCCTGGTGTCAGGAAATCCAAAGGGTCTGTTCTCTCTTGGTTTACACAGTGGTGAGTAGTTAACGACGGGGGTGATCTGCACTGTTTCTTCCTCCTAGATGTTGCTCTTTTGGTGGTGTTCAGACTCAAAACTGCCGTTTTTGCAGCCTGGGGGGGGACAGAGAGGGAGTTTCTGTGCACTTCTTCGCTCCAGAGCAGGTCCAGTGGCAGGGTGACAGCGTCGTCTCCCCCTGTGCCAGGAGGTCACGTTCCCACGGTGCTGCTAGCGGAGGCCACCAGCTCCACAGGCTTCACACGGTATTTTAGGGGCTTAACAAACTGGGAAAGACGGCGTTTTCTGCGCCTCACCTCCCTTCGAGCTCCACCGAGGCCTGGGTGAGGCTCACGTGTGAAGGGCTGAGGAACATCAGAGCTGGTTACAGGCCGAGGGGAAAATGCTTAGGGACAAAGCAGATGCTGTGAGAAAAAAAAAAAAGTTTGGAAGAAAGACTATTTTAAAATACTGCACGCTTGAACAGTAGCAGTGAAGCCAAAATAAAATGTTTTTCAAAACAAAACAAAAAAAAGCCAAAAAAAAAGTCTGCGCAGACTGTGGGAAATACAAAAGGGTCATGAGAAATTGGAAAGTCCTAAATGCAGAGCAGCGGGAGCGAGCGACCACGGCCCAGCCCCAAGGAGCAGGGCCATGGCAGCGCAGGGACAATGGGGCTGCCAGCAGCACCAGTGCCACCGGCAGCGGGGCAGTGTGTGCCGTGCCCCCACAGCACGCTGCACCCCAGAGCAGACCTGGGACCTGCTGCTGTTGTTCTGTAGAGCAAGCAGGACGTGGCTGATGCCCAGCAGATTCGCCAGACCTGCTGGCTGAGGTGCTTGCTGGAGTAGAACATCCGAGACAGGTCATCTTTCTCCTCCAGTACAATGTCAAAGTAGAATTGCATCTTTCCAGTGCGAGGAGGAGATGTAATGGAGCAGTTTATAGCACAGCATATCCCTAATCCCCAAAAGTCCAGGCTACCCAAAGAGAGAGGCTGATGGCCTCTAGAGTCCCCATAGAGTAGCCTCCCCACCACGGCAGAGAGGGCAGGCTTGACCAGCTTGGCCCGTCCCTGGGGTGCTGGGGCAGTGCGAGCCCAGGGAGCAGTACCAGGACAAGGAACAGTGCAGTGAGCTCTCGGCGTAGCGTCGTCTGTGGCCCAGGGCCCCCGTTCCTCCCATGCTGTTGTAACTCCTGCCTCTGTGCCAATGGCTTCCAGAACGCAGAGGAAAACTCTCGCATCTCAATCACCTTCTTCCGACTCTTCCGCGTGATGCGTCTTGTGAAGCTCCTGAGCCGAGGGGAGGGCATCCGGACACTGCTTTGGACCTTCATCAAGTCCTTCCAGGTATTCCTTCACTTATCTCTAAGTAAGACCTAACGCTTTTTTTTTTTTTTTTTGCCCTTGGTGGCCCTTCGGGGAGGGGTTTCACCCAAGTGCCCACCAGTGACATGTGGCACGAAGGAGAGTCAAGTAAAGGGGGCTCACGGGGGATGACTGCCTGGGCATGAATTTCTGCTTTAAAGCATGAGTAATTGCTTGAGACCTTCCTGCACAGCCTTGATAGTCCAGTTCAACTCAATTACTGCCTGTCTGGAACCTTCAATCTCTTTTTTTTTTTTTTCTATTTTAGATTTATTTTAAATCTGTTGCTTTAAGCAAAATATCCAGCTATGGGGAAGGCCTGGGTCTCAATTAATTTTCTTTTAAGACTTGTTTTGAGGATTTTCAGTGAGTAGTAGAGGTGTGTGGCCCCCATGCTTTCATCCCGGAAGAATTTCACCTTTTTGGCCCCACGCCTTTGGCCCTGGTAATGATGCCAAGTTATTAAATTGCTGCTGCTTCCGCCTTGGACGCAGGTTGCGTTTCAGTGGACCAGAGTAGACAGGGGAAGGTGAAGGAGACCAGACTGGATAAGAGTCATAGAATCATAGAATCATAGAAAGGTTAGGGTTGGAAGGGACCTCAAAGATCATCTAGTTCCAACCCCCCTGCCATGGGCAGGGAAATCCTCCACTACACCAGGTTGCCCAAAGCCTCATCCACCCTGGCCATGAGTCATCACCTCTGGGAGAAAACAAACACCAAGAGACAGCTGTTTGCTAGAAAAACTGCTTCCAAACCAGCCTCTAACCTAGCCATGTACAGAAAAATATAGTTAGAGATGAAGCATAGCATATTCCTGCATTTTACGAGTACTTGACCTGGATTTACTGGGCCAGCACAACCTGGATATTAGCTGGGACACGTCTGGAAGAAGTGTCAGGGACTGACAGTGCAGGAATACAAATAGTGTCTAAACAGAAGAAAAGACGCAGGGCGCACCACCAGACAAAAGCATGGAAGAGTACCTGGTGCAACACACCAGTCTTGAAAGAGCAACCACGTATCCCTCAGACTGAGGCTTTAAATGGTGGATAGCATTTGTGTTGACTCCAATGGGAAAGGAGCTGAGCCACACTTTAAAACTTAAGCCTCACCTGCTACAACACAAGCTGGGACCCGAGCCTGCAGTGCTGTGGATCACCAGACTTCTGTCTGCTGACTTCTCTGTCAGCAGAAATAGCACATGTGTACACCAGAGATCCATCTGGACCTTTTCCAGTGGAGCTCTCAGGTGGTCTCAGGAGCCAGACCACCAGGCTCATGCAAAGGATTCCCACTCTGTGCTCTCCTTGACTGCCAGAGGATCTACTATTGCACAGCGGTTTTCCGACACATCCGTACCACAAGCGACTTTTTCCATTGCTTACCGGGTTGCTAACTTCCAGGTTGTTACTTGAGTGGCTCCAGTGGGAACCATTTTGCCTGCACGCATAGGAATGAGATTCCCTTGGCACAGCTCAGCCATCCCTGATGCAGAGGACAGAGTCACACTTTCCAGTTCCTGCTTCTCCTCCCCTTGCCCCTGTGCCCCTCCAGCCTCTTTAGCAACAGCTCGCTCCTATCTGGAGCTCAGCTTGCCCCGGCTCTCGGCTGGAGAGGAGGAGATGGATGGGAAAGGGAGCGCCTGGTACTTCCTTCCAGTGACCTTCAGACCTCTTTGGTTGGAGAGTCACTTTTAGGCAGGGTTGTAGGGTGATGGGAGAAAGTAGCAAGGGAGGTATCTTCCACAGCGGGGCAGGGGGATGGGGAAGGCACTGCAAGCAAATGCCTTTTCCCTTGAAAGCCTTTAGCCATTTATAACATGGCATTCTCTGCTCGGAGCTCCTCCTCTTGCAACTACCAGGAGGCTCCTCCGGTAGCTAAGAATAGCCACTGCTCAGAGCTCTTAACTCAACCACTCCCGCTGTCAAAATCTAGGATCCCTGCAGACTTTGTCTGGCACGGGCTCTTCTCCATGTCCCCACATGCTTCCAGGAATCATCTCTGCTCACACAGGGCCTCCTAATAAGCAAGGAACCTGCGCTGGAGTCCAGAGCCCACCGTTAACTACCACGTGCCCCGCGCATGGCGCACGGCGCTTACGTACAAGTCGGGGCACCGGTCAGAGGAGCGTGTGGTGGGAAAGTGCTCCGCAGGGTTTCCGCCTGCAGAGACAGCGACAGAGGCCAGACTGGAGGGTGGGAGGAGTAGGAAGTGAGAGGGGTGCCAAGGGCAAGGCGAGGCCGTGGGAATCACAGGGACAAAGCGGTAAAGCCAGGGAAGGACGGAGACAGAGGAGGAGAGAGCCAGAGGAGTGGAATATGGGAGGTGGAGAGCTGAAGGAGCCATAGGGAATAAGGGGCAGAGATGAGTGGGAAGGTGCATCAATGGAGAGGAGTGGGCTAAGTGGAAGAACATGGAAAGAAAGTGGAGGGCTGGATGGCCAGGAGAGAAGACACTTTTCCCATCTCTTGTTTGAAAAAAAAAAAAAAGACCTGGTAAGGTTATGCACCTCAGGTCCTGTCTGGACACTATCCCAGGAGCTCTTCTTAGGTCTCGTGTATATCGATTCTCAACCAGATCATCGCAGAATGTCTGGAACCCAATTCTGAGCTAGTGTATCCCTACTGACACTGTGGAGCAACCATATAAATTTGTCTGATCCCATAAAACATAGAGGAATCTGCCTCTGAATCTCAAGATGATGATTACAGATATGTTTGAAGGTTTGGATTTTTGCCATTTTAATATTCAGATCTCTTTGAGATAAGATCTGCAGATCTTAGTCAAATCTCCATAGTGGCCAGGGAAAATTTTTCCTCAATTCTTCCTTCAGGATTTAGCTCTCTTGAATTTAGACATAAACTTAAAACATGTAAGTAATCTTAATGTTAAAAAAAAAAAAAAAGTAGGCTTTTTATACTTTGTGAAATGGCGTGTTCAAAAGTCAGATCAGGGACTGTACTCTCATTTTCAGGATGAACGTTTCCACCCATTGTCTCTGAAGTAAGGCCTGGAAATCTCTGGTCTGAGCACTCTATGTTTCAGAAGCAACAGAGTAGAAAATTCCTCCTCAAAAGCCTGAGCCCATGAGGTCCCGAGCTGAGCCCTTGATCCCTGCCAGTGGCGGAGGGAACCCGCAGCACCCAACA